TATAAATATTTATTTATTTATTATTTATTTATAAAAATAAATCAATACAAGGGGAATGAACCAGAAAACTTAGATTAAGTGCCATGAGCCAGCTGCAGAAAGAGAAATGCCAAATTATCTCACATGCACCTCAGGTGAACTACTTCTACAATGAAAACTACAGAACATTGAAGAAGAAATTGAAGACGACCTCAGAAGATGGAAAGACCTCCCGTGTTCATGAATAGGTGGAATTGATATAGTTAAAATGGCCAAAGCAATATACAGATTCAACACAATCCCCATCAAAATATCAATGACATTCTTCACAGAACTAGAAAAAACAGTCCTAAAATTCATTTGGAATAATAAAAGAGCTAGCATAGACAAAGCAATTCTGAGAATGAAAAAAAAAAGGCACTGGTGAAGGCATCACAATACCTGACTTTGAATTATACTACAGAGCTATAATAACAAAACTGCAGGGTACTGACATAAAAACAGACACACAGACAATGATACAGAATAGAAGACACAGAGACACGTTTACAGCCATCTGATCCTTGACAAAAGTGCCAAAATATACATTGGAGAAAAGACAGCCTTTTTAACAAATGGTGCCAGGAAAAATCACATAGAGAAGAATGAAACTAGACCTTTATTTCTCACCCTGCACAAAAAATAAACTCAAAATGGATCAAAGACTTAGGAATTAGACCAGAAACTATGCACTCCTACAAAAGAATGAAGGGTGAACACTCCAGCATATGACCAAAGGCAACAACTTCCCTGTAGGACCTCTCAAGCTCAGGAAATAATGCCAAGAGTTAATAAATGGGATGTCATTAAATTAAAAATCTTCTGCAAGCAAAGGAAATAATTAGGAGTGTGAAGAGAAAACTCTGAGAATGGGAGAAAATCGTTGCAAGCCGTTTCTCAACATTACACCAAAAAATCAAATCACCCAATTAATCAATGAACTCATGTGGGCAAATGAATTAAACAGATAGTTCTCAAAAGAAGAAATACAAATGGTCAACAAATATATGAAAAAATGTTCCTCTTCATTAGAAATTAAGGAAATACTAATCAAAATCACACTGAGATTTCATCTCACACCAGTCAGAATGGCAGTCCATTAAGAACACAAATAATAATAAATGCTGGAGAAGATGTGGAGGAAAATGAACACTTTTACACTGTTGGTGAGACTGTAAATCAATGCAATCACTATGGAAATCAATATGGAGTCTCCTCAAAAAACTAGGCATGGGGGCTGAGGTTGTGGTTCAGTGGTAGAGCACTTGCCTAGCATGTGTGAGGCACTGGGTTCCATCCTCAGCACCACATAAAATAAATAAATAAAATAAAGGTATTGTGTCCATCTATGACTAAGAAACATATTTTTTAATTAATTTTTTATTTATATATGACCAGAACTCATTACAATTCTTATTACACATATATTATTATTCATGTCTCTGGTTGTATACAAAGTATATTCACATCAATTCGTGTCTTCATACATGTACTTTGGATAATGATGTCCATCACATTCCACCAACATTTCTAACCCCCCTCCCTTCCCCTCCCACCCCTCTGCCCTATCTAGAGTTCCTCTATTCCTCCCATGATCCCTCTCCCTACCCCACTATGAATCAGCCTCCTTAGATCAGAGAAAACATTTGGCCTTTGGTTTTTGGGGATTGGCTAACTTCACTTAGCATTATCTTCTCTAACTCCATCCATTTATCTGCAAGTGCCATGATTTTATTCCATTGAACGAAACATATTTTTAAAAAGGCCAGGCATGGAACCACCATTGACCTGCTATCATACTATAGTGATAATTGCATACCCATGTTTATAGCAGTATAATTCACAGTAGCCAAATTACAGAACAAGCCTAGATGTCCATCAATGGATGAATGGATAAAGAAAATATGGTCTATATAACACAGAGGAGTTTTATCCAAACATAAAGAAAAATGAAATTATGTGATTTGTAGGAAAATACGTGGAACTTAAGACCATTATGTTAATCGAAGTAAATCAAACTCAGAAGGTCAAGGGTGGTACGATTTTTCTCATATGTGAAAACTATAGAGAGAAAAAGAAAAGGAAAGACAGGAAGAGATCTCATGAAAATCAAAGAGAGATCAGTAGAGAAAAGGGATGAGTGGGTGGGAGGTGGGGAGGAAGGGAGAAAGTGCTGGGGAGTGATATTGGCCAAATTATATTGTTATATTGTATGCATGAAGGAATATGCAATAACAAATCCCATCAGTATGTAGAACTATAATGCACCAATAAAAAAAAACTGGAAAAAAAGAATATTACCTGAAAAAGAAAAGAAAAAAAGTGGGAAGAGAAGAAGATGAAACCAGACCAGAAAATGATCGATAAAAATCAAACATATAATAAGGAGGGCTAACAAAACCCACAGCTGGAAAGACCAACTACATGAATAAAATGACCAAGAAAAAGTAGAAAACACGTTATTCAAATGAGGTATAAAATATGTGGTCATCTCTCCAACTGTGCAGATGCCAAAAAGATCAAAGAAAATATCGTAAGCAACTTTGTGGCAAAAATTAAATGCAGAAGAAATAAACAATTACTTAAATAATCCACAAAGAATTTGAAAATCCGAGAAATTAAATCCTTAAATTCATTTGAGGTTTTCTGCTACAACATTCCAATAATGATTACTAGCTCTATGGGTTTCAAGAGACAGTTATAGTAGGGATAGCAAAATACTCTTTGTGTGTGTGTGTGTGTGTGGTATAGGGGACTGAACTCTGTCACTAAATTGCTGGGACTGGCGTTAAACTTGCCATCCTCCTGCCTCAGCCTCCCAAAGAGCTTGGATTATAGCCATGCACCACCTGCCCAGCATCTTATTCTTATAACTACAGTGGTGTGTTCTTGAAATTAATCCCCTTCCTTCCTGATTATAAAAGAAGTAGCAGATTCTACGTTGGGCCAATGTGCTAAAATTGTTTTGGCAGTCATTCTGGCCTACCAATCCTTGAGTCAGCTTCTAGGAGAGTTTTAAGCACTAATTCTACATATTAAAAATGTTTCTGAAACCAAGCACAGTGGTGCATGCCTATAATCCCTGCGGCTTGGGAAGCTCAAGAAGGAGGATGGTGAGTTCAAGGCCAGCCTCAGAAACTTAGCAAAGTCCTAAGCAACTTAGCAAGACCCTGTCTCTAAATAAAATATTAAAAGAACTGAGGAATAAATAAAAATTTTTTTAAAAAAAGGGCTGGGGATGTAGCTCAGAGATTGAGTGCCCCTCTTTTCAATCCACAGTACCCCCCAAAAAAATTCTGTTTTAAATAGCTAGTGTTTTTGGTTTCCTGCAATTAAATACCATTACATATAGGAGCACCTTGCACATGCACATATTTATCTTTTTTTAAATTTTTTAGGTGGACACAATATCTTTATTTTTATTTTTATATGGTGCTGAGAATTGAGCCCAGTGCCTCACGCATGCTAGGCGAGCACGCTACCACTTGAGCCACATCCCCAGCCCCACATATTTATCTTTTTATGGAATCATTCTATACAATTGATTAATTCATCCCATATACATATGGAACATACCTAATTTTTCATAACTTCACAATTTCTTTTTTGAACACAATACCTTTATTTTATTTATCTTATTTTTATGTGGTACCAGGGATCAAACCCAGCGCCTCATGCATGATAGGCAAGCACTCTACCACTGAGCCACAACCCCAGCCCATAACTTCACATTTTTTTAAATTTTTTTTTAGTTGTAGATGGACACAATATCTTTATTTATTTATTTTTATGTGGTGCTGAGGATCGAACCCAGTGCCTCACATGTGCGAGGCAAGCACTCTACCACTAAGCTACAGCCCCAACCCCATAACTTCACAATTTTTATTAACTCTGTCCCATGACTGAGCTTCCCTTCTTACTGGCCCCCTCAATAGTCATATTGCTTGTGGACTGGCCAGACCTGCTGGGGTAATCAATGTTACGTATCTTAAGACACCAGAGACCAATGAAAATGTGATATTCAAGACTAACTGTCCGACAGGACTAATTCTAGCTATTGGTGTCCAGACAAGAAAATATATCTTAGCTTGATTATTTTGTCTTGTTCACAGGAGAAAAATGAAGATTTTATAACTTGAAAGTTCATTAGATGAACTGTTTATTTTTAAAAAAAAAAAAAAGCGTAGCTTAAACAAAAGAATTTTTGGAAAGATGCTATGATAGCTCATGAAGTCCTAGGGAGAGTTGAACTTTAAGAGGTGAGGAACCACCTTGGGACTTGGGACTGGAGCTATTGGGACTTGAGCAATTAATGACATTTGGAGTCAATTCATTATTTGAATTTCATAGGAAAAAAAAGTTAAAAATTAACAGAGGAAAGCACCTGATTGGTGGGCTTGATTCTACTGTTCTCCTTAGATCATTCAACCCAGGAATCAGGGGCAGCATCCTATATAACTGCTGCTTCCTGGGGATGTGGAAATCATTGTAATCTCAAAAGCTAAAATCATGCCCAGGGCTGCCTCCCAAAAACTTACTCAACCAACTTGCACTGAGTTTGTCTGTTGACCGGGACCCATACTGGCCACTGGAGATGACCGAGCAAACCCTTCTCTGGCCTCTCCCAGCTCTTAGGATTTCCACACCCTGCGGACCTGAGCCCTAACTGAGCCAAATCAAATATATCTCTTGCCCGGTTCCAACATAAGAAGGAGAAGGGCAGAGAGTTTGCTCTTTGTCTCCTGTCTTAGATATCTGTGTCGTACCCTCACCCCATCCCCTCGGGATGAAGCACAGGAATGTAGAGAGATGTTCAGGAAAAATTTATCAGAGTCCAGACAAAACACAACCACCACAAGCAGCAGGCACACCTGCCTTGGCTACGCTTCAATGCTCATGGCCCAGGGCCACGCGGAGGCCCATAAAGGCTGGAGCTTGGGAACACCAACCCAGACCTAAGCCTTCCTCTCTGGCATCCGGCCATGAAGCTCCTCTTTCCTATCTTTGCCAGCCTCATGCTACAGCACCAGGTGAATACAGGTAATGTGGGCGCCTGGGTTTAAGAGGAGTGGGTGATCAGAAGCAGGGGTTTGGCTGCTTACGATGGTAGAACCCAAAGAGATGCTGAATGATGATGTCCCCAAAGAGATGGCCGAAGAGCTGACCTGCAGCCCCAGCCATGCCCCATCTCCATCTCCAGCCCGGCTGCCCCAACCTCAGACTGTGTCTGATGGAGACACCAGGGAGCTACAGGGAAAGCGGGGTGTTTCCGGTGTATTTGGAAACTGCAATCTATAATGCTGCCTTCCTGCCCTCTATAGATCCGTCACCCTCCGACTCTACCTCATTCCAGCTCTATTTCCAATTTAAACTCTCTCTTGAAGAAAGTGTTCCAGTTTGTACCTTGGTGCTGGAAGGAAGAAGCTCTTTCCTTTGGGCTCCAAAATGTCTCCTTTAGATTTAGAAATGAGTCTGTGTTCTCCATCTCAACACGTTCAGGTTTTTAGAGCCTTATTCCTTCTCTCAGCCTTTGGAAATACTCAAAGCATCCCCAGGACATTGAGAAACACATTATGGGCAAAAGACTGAACCAGAAGATTGAATCTTGTTTTTGAAAAAGCACAGCGACTTGTTTCAGAATACAGCTCACAGTGAGTCAGGGGAGGAGAGCATCAGAGCCAAAGATGTTCCCAGAGTTTGTATTTGGGGACTCAGGGGAAAGGATAGCACCATAGACAGATACAGCCATGTCATCCTAGATGAAGTTACTTGGCCACTTTGAGCTTCGAAATCCACATGAGTATATGGGGTTCATCAATGCAGTTGCTTCCAATCCAAGAATTGTTTTGGTTTTGCACTTGGTGAGAGAATGAGGAGGAAATGTGTGAGAACATCCCTTGGACATTATCTGATGCTAAATAAATTATTTCCAATGTATGTAAAATTTGTTGGATTGATAAAACGAGTGACGGAAGAAAGGAAAGCTGTCTTGATGAGAAGTTGGGATGCGACAATCATCTATCAGGTGAAGATGCATTAGTGAGCTTAGTGGAGATTTAAACCATAGATAACAACACTGGAGTCCTCTCCATGGAGAGGAGGGCCAGGCTCGATAATGAGTAAAACCTCCAAGAGACAGTGTTCAGAGAGGCTGAAATGATAGAATACCATGCCCCAGGATCCACGGATCTGGTGATTGTCAAAGGCAGAGGGGCATTTCTTTTTTATATATAACTTTATTTTATTTATTTATATGTGGTGCTGGGGATTGAACCCAGGGCCTCGCACTTGCAAAGCCAGCGCTCTACCGCTGAGCCATAACCCCATCCCCAGAGGGGCATTTCTTGAGCCATGTTCCCAGCCTTTTTTATTTTTATTTTTTATTCTGAGACAGGGTCTCACTATGTTGCTTAGGGCCTCACCAAGTTTCTGAGGCTGGCCTTGAACTTGCAATCTTCCTGTCTTGGTCTCCCAAGCCCCTGGGATTACAAGTGTATGTCACCACACCCAGCCAGAAGACAGCATTCCTGAAAGTCCTGTTGATAATCTTTTTAAATTCTTTGCTTGGTTTAGTTCATCTGACATAACATCCTCCAGTCTCCATCTGTTTTACTGGAAATGACAGGATTTCCTTCTTACTTATGGCCACACAGAAAGACGAGTACCACATGTTCTCTCTCACATGTGGAAATTAAAAAATAAAAAAAAAAAACCCACCTGAATATAGAACCGTGATTACTAGAGATTGGGAAGAGAAGGAGGTGGAATAAAGGGAGGCTGGGTTTGATCAGAGGACACTGTTTGCATGTATTGAGATATTACACTGAACCCCATTCATATGTACAATTAATACATGTTAATCAGAAATATTTTTTTTTAACTTTAAAAATCCTTTCTTAGATTAGTTTTATGACAGATTTTACTTTCATTGGTATTTCAGAGAGTGGCTGCACAGTGTCTAAGATGCTAAGTTGGAGGTTAAAATTGCTATTATAAAAGCAAATATTTGGGCTCCCTCTTCTTCTTTCCCCTTTTTTTAAAGTTACTCAAGGACCAGGCATGGTGGTGCATACTTGTAATCCCAGAGGCTCAGGATGCTGAGGTGGGAGGATCACAAGTTCAAAGCCAGCCTCAGAGATTTAGTGAGACCCTGTCCCAAAATACAAAGGGCTAGGGATGTGGCTCAGTGGTAAAGTACCCCTGGGTTCAATCCTGGGTACAAAAAAATAAATAAAGTTACTCAAGGAAGAGAGACTAAATCAGAGGTTTATTTTGGATTCCAGAGGTGGACAGAGGTTCTCTTGGCCTACCCAGGTGACTCCACCAACATCCCTAAACTCTACACATAAAGCCAACAAACTCCCTCTGACTCTATCCATCTCCTTCCAGCGGTTTGAACAGCATCTCTACTCATTAACCTTGGCTGCATGGTTTTCTCTCTTCCTCGTGCAGAACTTTGGAATACGCCAAAATGCTTAATGGGTTTTGGAAAATGCAAGAGCTCCTGCAACGAAGATGAAAAATAAGTTCAGAAATGCAAGAAGAAAAAATGTTGCATTGGACCCAAAGTGATCAAACTGATAACCATGTACCTGCGACACGAAATACCCCATATACCTGAGATAGAAAACGAAACGATGCTAATTGGTCACATAGATCCTAAGGTAAAACAAAACAAATATATTTTATCAGTTCCCCTGGATATCGAAAGCACCATCGTTCTCCCCACAGGATACACCATTCACACTGCTACTCCTACCGAGAGAGACACTCAACAAACCATAGGGTCTGTTGATGCCTCTCCTCCACCAGAACCACCCTAGACCCTACCGATAGCACCCCCAGGGCTGGAGGAAGAAGATTCCCCTAACACATCAAGTTCTATTTCCGCAGTCTATAAAATAACATGTATAACTGCTTCCTCTGTCATCAGTCATTCAATAAACACTGTGTACGCACCAATAGCTTTAGGAATGTTATCATTCTCACAGGAGCCTCAGAGGGGAGGGAGTGCAGGAAAAGGATGGAATTTGAAGTTTACATGACCAGGAAGAAGCAAGCACTCGAATGGTTACATAATAGAACCAGGTTTGGCCCAGGTCAAACCTCCTGTAATCATAACTGATGCACAAAGAACCACACATCTGGATAAATTGGGACAATCAAGGACATAGTCGTATCCATCACATCCCAAAGTTTACTTGTGCCCCCACTTAGTGTGGTTTTCATTCGGAGGGGTGGCTCATGTGATTGTTTTCATAGTCACCAAACCCGGGGGCTGCCAATGCCACAATGTACTATTAATGATCCCAAAGACAGAACTGGACAGAATCAACAGAGAGGTTTCAGACATTTTATTACTCACCCACTCTTTGGAGGCAGCAGTCCAGGATATACTGGAGGGCCACCCACACCTTCAAGCAGGGGCAATATACGGCAGAGGGTGCCTGCCCTGCGCCGGTGGATTTCCTCAGATGTTTTTATGAGCACATTCCCTTATTTTACAATCAGTATCGCTCTGTTTACATCCTCTCCTGAAGACTCGAGATAAGCAATCGGGCATGGGTGGCGCAACTTGTAATCTCAGAGGCTTGGGAGGCTGAGGCAAGAGGATGGCAAGTTCAACGCCAGCTTCAGCAACTTAGTGAGACCCTGTCTCAAAATAAAACATAAAAAATGGGCTGGAGACGTGGCTTAGTGTTTGAGCTCCCCTGGATGTAATCCCTGGTACAAAGAAAAAAGAAAGACTGAAGATAAGGGAAGCCAAAACTCCATTTTTTTTTCATTATCACATTCTTTAGAGTCCTTCTTCTCTCTCTGGCTTTCCCAGGCACTGATCAGTGTTTAACCCAATAGTAGTGATCATCTAACCTGAGATCTACCCTCTTCTGTGAAGAAGAGCATACAATACCTTATTATTAAGCACAGGCACTATGTTGTGCTGCAGATCACTAAAAGTTATTCATCTAGCATAACTGAAACCTGAGACCCCTTGAATAACTCCTCATTTCCTCCACTCCCCAACCCTGGCAATCGTGAATACTCTGTTTCTAATGAGGCTCAACTATTAGAGGTAACCCACGTAGGCAGAACCATGCAGTATTTATCCTTCTGTGACTGGCTTATTTCACTTACAAAATGTCCTCAAGATTTGCAAATAGCAAGATTTGCCTCTTTTTTTAAAGCAGAACAATGGCCATGGTATGCATAGACCACGTTTCCTTTATCATTCATCTGCTGATGACCTCTCAAATCGTTTCCATATTTTGACTAGTTGAACAATGTTGTAATAAACATAGGAACATGAATGTTTCTTTGAGATCCTGGTTTAACTCCCTTTGTATGTATACCCAGAATTGAAATTGCCAGATAATATCATATAGTAGTCCTATTTCTAGTTTTTTTAAACTCTTGTATTGTTTTATATTCTCATTAGCAGTGTATTAGAGTCTCAGTTATTTCACATCCTCATCAATATGGAGAGGGAGGGTTACAGTTTTTTTTCTCTTTCTATATTTTTTTATTAGTGCATTATAATTGTACATAATTATGGGGTTTGTTGTTACATATTCATACATGCACACAATATCTATCTTGAATTTTTTGAGCAAATGCCATACTGTTTTCTGTACAAAGTGCACCATTTTACTATCCCATCAACAGTATATAGGAGTTATAATTTCCTTTTTTTTTTTTTTGGCACTGAGAATTGAACCCAGGAGCTATTAACCACAGAGCCACATTCCCAGCCCTTTTTATATTTTATTTAAAGACAGGGTATTGCTAAGTTGCTTAGAGCCTCACTAAGTTGCTAAGGCTGGTTTTAAACTCATGATCCTCCTACCTCAGCCTTCCAAGCCACTGGGATTACAGGCGAGCATCACCAGGCCCAGCCAAGGAGTTCTAATTTATTGACATCCTCTCCAGTACTTTTTATCTCTTATGGGGTTTGGGGGGAGTTATTAATTTATTTTTAAGTTATCAAGTGAAATTTATGTATTTCTGTGCACAATAGAATATTTTGAGGTACGTATTCATTGGAGAATGGCTAACTCTGGCTAGTTAACATATACATTAGCACACACACTTTTCTGTCGTGAGAACACTTTGCATCCACCCTCAGCATTTTTCAAGAATACATTTTTCAAGAATTAACAACCTCAGTGGCTAAGGACCCCTGGGTTCAATCCCAGGTACCAAAAAGTAAATAAATAGATGGAATACATTATTATCGACAGTCATCAAGTGGTACCACAGATCTTTTGAACTTACTCCTCCTGTCTCACCAAAATTTTTTCACCTTTGACACAACATCTCCTTCACACTCCCTCCCTGCCATGTCAGCCCCGAGTAACCACCATCTCACTCACTACTTCTGTGGGATCCAATTTTTAGATTTCACATGAGAGTAAGATCATGCAACTCTTGGTTTCATTGATTTTTTTCTGTTGCTCTTATTTTGTTTCATTTATTTCTGCTCTGATATTGCTATTTCTTTCCTTCTACTAATTTGGCTTTAGTTATTTGTTTGTTCTTGTTTTTCTCTTCCTAAAGGCATAATTTCAGGTTCTTATTTGAGATCTTTCTTCTTCTTCTTTTTTTTTTTTTTTGTACCCAGGGTTGAACCCAGAAGCACTTTACCACTGAGCCACATCCCCAGCCCTTTGTATTTTGAGGCAGGGTCTCACTAAGTTGCTGAGGCTGGCTTTGAACTTGCGATCCTCCTGAGCCACTGGGTTTATAGGCCTGTGCCACCGCACCCACGCCTGGCTGTTCTTTTTTGATGTAGGCACCGATTGCTATAGACGTCTCTCTTAGTCCTGTTTTGCTGTATCCTATAGGCTTTGGCATATTTTGTTTCCATTTTCATTTGCCTCAAGAAATCTTCATTGGCCTTCTAATTTCTTCATTGACCCCTCGGTGGTTCAGGAACACGTTATTTAATTTTCATGTATTTGAGAATTTTCCAAAGGTTCCACCATCATTGATGTCTAATTTATACCATTATTGTCAGCAAAGATAACAGGATATGATTTCAATCTTCTTAAATTTGTTAATACTTAATTTGTAGCCTAACCTATGAGAACATTCCAAATGGTGATAAGAAGACTATGTACTCTGTAGCTGTTGGTACTATTATTAAGTAAGATAAGGGTTACCTGAACAAACATTAAGATACTGCACCAGTTCATCTAAAAATGAAGACAGCTAAGTTAACAGAAGAGTAGTGCCTACTGCATAGATACTCTGGACAAAGGGATGATTCACCTCTTGGGTGGAAAAGACAGGGCAGCAGGAGATGTCTTCATGCTACTCAGAATGGCATGTGATATGTTTGTGAGTTATTTATTTCTGGAGTTTTACATTTACTATGAGACCACAGTTGACTACTATACCAACTACTTTCTCTTCACAATCACCATATTGTAGACCTGTGCCATAGTCTGTGGATCCAAATTGTGGCAAAAATTAAAACAAAATGATGACCGTGTGCTGTAGTCTCTACTAAGTTGAAAAATAAATGGCTTAAGAACCACGACTAGTTATCATTGATACTGCTGACTTCGCTTCCTCTTGTGAGTGGGTCTCAGCAAAGAGAGGAAACAGGATTCCCTGGGCTTCATGGTCTACGTCCTCCCTCCCAGATCTCAACATCTGAGCCCAGTCCCAGAAGTGAACATGTGATGGTGCCCTGTTTGATGAGAACAGATCACCTTGGATCTAGAGATTCCATGACCCTGTGACAAAGAACCTCTGGTAATTCTGAGTTCCACACCTTAGTTCAATAAATAGAGGTTTGATTCAAAGGTAACCCAATAAATTCATAAATGCTCTATGACCAAGAAGTATTAAAGCAAGAATAGCAACCTGGAGGAAGATATCTAGAAAAGGCAATAGTAATAATGACAATATTTAAGGGTTATAAAGCAGCCAGGTGTGGTGGCACACACCTGTAATCCCAGTGGCTTGGGAGGTTGAGGCAGGAGGATCACAAGTTCAAAGCCAACCTCAGCAACAGCAAGTGTAATGCCAGATTCGCGGGACTTCAATAGACCTCCAGGAGGCAAATCCGATGCAATCACACAAGAGTCTTTATTGCAAGCTCCAGCCTGGACTCACAACCGTTCCTAATGCAGCGGTCTGTGGGAAAGTCAAACAATAAGTCTTTTTTTTTTTTAATGCCGCAGTCCGGCTGCAGCAAAATAACTGGGGGGTGACGAATAACTTGTGTACGTTGATACAGCAGGAATGGAAGCCGTTTATTGTAGGACAAGAGTGGTATATATACATTCCACACAGCTTATCTTAATTAGCATAAACTAGATACATCAATCAACCAATAAGGAATCTCCACACTTAATGGCTCGCTGGCGTTACTTCACAAACCACTCCCTCTGGCAAAATGCCAGGCGCCATCCAGACTTGTTTACACACTCTAACATTTTAATATTTATTTTTTTAGATGTAGATGGACATAATACAATTGCCTTTATTTTTATGTGGTGCTGAGGATCGAACCTGGGTCCCGCCTGTGCTAGGTGAGCGCTCTACTGCTGAGCCACAATCCCACCCCCAAACAACAAGTCTTAACATTGATTAGCACATTCAATGGCGGGAAAAAGTTGGGTAGGGGTGATTGGCTAGTACAAGAGGGGGATTCGTTTGAACTGATTGGTTTAAGCCACGAAGGGTGTATGTGCTGAACTACATGGTTTCCCAACATGTTATCAACCACCATAAACTACTGGGGGGTCATCTGGCATCCCAGGTATTCTCCCTGTCTCATGCTGATTGATGGTTGCTAGGGGGTTGCTATGGGTCC